GCTCAGTTGGTTAAGAGCCTGACTTTGGCTCAGGTCATGATCTCACAGTTCATGAGTTCGAGCCCCACATCTGGCTCTGTGCTGACAGCTCAGAGCCTGGAGCCTGCTTAGGATTCTGTGTCTCCCTCTTTCTCTGCCCCTCCCCTGTTCACACTCTGCCTCTGTTTCTCTCTCAAAAATAAACACTGAAAAAAATTTTTTAATAAAAATTAAAAAAGAAAATGAAATTTGCATTTTAGTCATCGACTGAATACCAATCTATGCGTACGAATGATAAATCTCCACAAGGTTGAGGAAGGAACAACTACTGGGAGCTGTGTACCAAAAACTTTGCAGAGCTCTCACAAAACGGAATTGTTCAGGTGTTTACTAACCAGGATCACCTTACTGATTGCATGGAACATTTATTAGAGCCCCTATGTGAGTCATACCTTAGTAGAAGGGCTAAAGTAGCCATAGAGTTAAAGTTAACCCAGGAGTACCTGGGTGGCTCAGTTGGCTGGCTGAGCGTCCGACTTCGGCTTAGGTCATGATCTCACAGCTCTCATGGGTTAGACACCCGTGTCAGGATCTGGGCTGACGGCTCAGAGCCTGGAGCCTGCTTTGGATTCTGTATCTCCCTCTTTCTCTGCCTCTCCCCTGCTTGTGTTCTGTCTCTGTCTCTCTCAAAAATAAATAAACCTTGAAAAAAATCTACCCCAGACCTCTCCTAAGCAGTTTATAAACAAGTCTCATGTAGGTCAAGCTGATTCTTAAATAACTGACTGCCAGGACAAATTCAATCTTTAGAGGAATAAAAAAAAAAATCCATTATTTAACAACAGAAAATTCACAAAGTTTGTTATCTAATGAAAAATTACAAGAGACACAAAGAGGCAGGAGATAAATTGATAAATACAAATCGATTAAAAATTGACCGATGATGGAATTAGCATACAAGTAATTTAAAACAGCTATTAAAATAGGAGTATGATGAGAGATTTAAAAGAAAATGTATATGAGAGAAATGCATGATATAAAAAGAGCCAAATAGAACTCTAAGGGATGAAAAATAAAATATTTGACATAAAAATTTCACTGATGGTATTAACAGTAGATTAGAGCCGGTAGAAGAAAAGATAAATGAACTTGAGGAAATACTAAGAAAAATTATTCAAAACTATAGAGAGAAAAAAGACAGGGTGGGGGGGCACAGTACGGAAACTTAATGACTTGTAGGACAACATCAAGTCGTTTTTTGTTTGTTTGTTTGTTTTTAATATTTTTATTTATTTCTAGGAGAGAGACAGCATGAGCAGGGGAGGGTCAGAGAGAGAGGAAGACACAGACTCTGAAACAGGCTCCAGGCTCTGAGCTGGCAGTCAGCACAGAGCCCAACGCGGGGCTCGAACCCACGAACCGTGAGATCATGACCTAAGCGAAAGTCGGACGCTTAACCGACTAAGCCACCCAGGCGCCCCCATCAAGCCGTTTAATATCTGTACATAATTGCAGTCCCTGCGTTTGGCTGTGGCAGTGTACAATGGTAAAATATGTATAGAAATAACAGCCCAAAATTTTCCTACCTGAATGAAAACTATAAGCCTACAGATTCAAGAAGCTTGATGAACTACAGTGGGATAGATAGGAAAAAAATAAAACAGACTAAGGTATATCATAATCATTTTGCTTAAAACCTCTGTTAAAGACAAAGCTCTTAAAAACAGCCGGGGGTGGGGGAGGATATATTGTGTACAGAGGAAGAAAGATAATCAAACACAGACTTTTCTTCAGAAACTTTGCAAGTCTTCTGACAATGTCTTATGAAAACAGAATGGTACCTTTAAAATGCTGAGAGAAAAAAAGCTCTCAGCCAAAAATTGTATACCCAATGAAACTGTCTCAAAAATGAAAATGGTGTAATGACTTTTTCAGACAAAGCTGGAGAGAGTTCACTATCATCAAACCTGCACCTACAATAAATGACAGCAATGGTAGTAAAGGTAAGGAGGGGTGGTGGATAGAAGGATACTGTTGCAATTGTACCTGAAATTCTATTATTTGAAGGTAGATAGCGATAGGTTTAAGATGCATATTGTAAACCCTAGAGCAATGAAAAGTAATACCACAGGAATGCCTGGGTGGCTCAGAAGGTTAAGTGTCTGACTTCAGCTCAGTTCATGAAGTCGCAGTGAGTTTGAGCCCCACATCAGATTATGTGCTGACAGCTCAGAGCCTGGAGCCTGCTTCAGATTCTGTGTCACCCTCTCTCTCTCCCTTCCCTACTCATGGTCTGTCTCTTTGTCTCCCTCTAAAAAATAAACAAACATTAAAAGAATTGTTTTAAACAGTAAAACACACAGTATGATTAGTAAACCAATAATGGATATAAAATAGAATACTAAAAAGAACCTCAATTCTTCAAAAGAAGGCAGGTAAAAAGTCCCTGTGTGGCTCAGTCAGTTGAGCAACTGACCCTTGGTTTCATCTCAGGTCATGATCTCATGGTTTCATGAGTTGAAGCCCTGCACTGGGATCTGTGCTGCCAGCACAGAGCTTGCTTGGGATTCTCTCTCTCTCTCTGCCCCTCCCCTATTCACATTGTCTCTGTCTCTCTCAAATAAACAAATAAATTGAAAACAAACAAACAAACAAAAAACAGATGGAGCAAATGGAAATATCAAGATATTACATTTATAACTAACCATACCAATGATTACATTAAATATCAATCGTCTGAATCAGCGTTTCTTTTTTTATTTAATATTTTTTTAATGTTTTATTTCTGAGAAAGAGAGAGAGAGAAAGACAGCGTGAGCAGGGGAGGGTCAGAGAGAGAGGGAGACACAGAATCTGAAGACAAGCTCCAGGCTATGAGCTGTCAGCACAGACCCCAACGCGGGGCTCGAACCCACGAACCGTGAGATCTTGACCTAAGCTGCGTCAGACGTTTAACCGACTGAGCCACCCAGGCGCCCCTGAATCAGAGTTTCTTAACCTCAGTACTGTTTAGGGCCAAATAAGTCTTGGTTTTGGGAGACTGTGCTTTGCATCCTAGGGTGTTTAATAGCATCCCTGACCTCTATGCCCTAGATAACGAGTAGAGACCTCCCCCACCTCTGCCATTTTGACAACCAAAAATATCTGCGGACATTGCCAAATGTTAAGAGCCACTGATGGAAACGCTCCAATTCAAAGGCAAAGGGTGTCTGAATGAAAAGCAAGATCCAATTATATTATGTCTTCGGAAAAAAACAAAAACAAAAACAAAAACACCTACTCTAATATAAAGACAGAAATATGTTAACAGTAACAGGACAGTTTCCTTGGTTGGACTAAATGTGCAATAAGGTCCTTTTGTGCTCCAAGTGTGTGTGACCAGTGCTCTATCCTGCAGTGTATCCCCACTGATTCCCTCAGCCTTCGCCCACACTCCATTCACTCTTGTGGCAAACCACAAGCAGACGAGTAATATTCAAAACACTTGAAAAAAGTCTCCTCCCCTTCCCTTCATTCTGTCAGTTCTCTTCCCTGATGGCATCTTCTATTACAGTTTTTTATGAATTCTTCCAAAGATTTTCCATGAAGTTGCAAATAGGAGTACAAGCATATTCCCCCTCCCACCCCCAGATGATAACTCGTGATATTCTCCACATGGTCCTGACTCCCTACTTCCCTTGGTATAGGTTGGAAATCTTTTATATCAGTACATAGGGATAGACTTTCTCCATTAAAAAAAATTATTTTTAATTTGAGACAGAGAGAGAGAGAGCAAGTGGAGGAGAGGGGCAGAAGGGGAGAGAAAATTTCAAGCAGGCTCTATGTTCAGCGTGGAGCCCTATTCGGGGGCTGGATGACGACCCTGGGATCATAACCTGAGCTGAAATCAAGAGTGAGCCACCCAGGTGTCCCAGATCCTTCCCATTTAAAAAAATTTTATAGCTGGTTCTCATTCCATTATATTGATGTGCTGTGATATATTTAACAGTCCTTTATTGATGGACATTTGCTTTGAGTCTTCACTAGCACAAATAGTGTAGTAATGGATGACCTTGTACTCATATCATTTCACACCTGTATCAGTATATCTCTAGGAAAATACAGAAGTGGAATCCTTGGATTAAAGATTATATATATATGTGGGGTTTTTTGTTACTTGTTACTGCAAAATTGTTCTCTATTGAGCTTACAAAAGCTTTTTATTTTTGCGAATCTGATAGTTGGAAAATTCTACCTTGTGTATTTGAATTTGTGTAAATTCTCACTTAATTTGCAGTTAAGTGAGCTTGACTATCTTTTCATGTGCCTGAGTGGTATTGCATTTGTTTTCTTCTCGTGAATTCTCTCTTCATGTCTTTTGAGTTGGGCTTTTGTCAATTTATAAAAGGTAGAGTCTGTATTCTGATAACAGACGATGGTCATGTCCTGACCAATGACCTTGATACACCTGTCACCTGTCTGTGGATTTATTAAGCCAGGTATGGAATCTGGGCTTTACTACTTCCTTGTGACCTTGGGCGGGTTCCTGAACCTCTTTGGGTTTCTATGTCCAAGTACCCAGGATGGGGTCTCGTTTATCAACAGGGCGCAGGAAGGCACCTTTAAAACCAGAGAATCGGCTTGGACATGTTTGTCAACAACGTACAGGGCACTCTTCCGCGGGGAAATTGTGCTTAGGCACCAAGGCCCGCCCGTAGCAACCAAACTACCAAGTCCGGGAGTGCGCTGGCTGGGAGTGGGGGCCTGGCTCCCTAAAGCCCGAGTTCCCCCTTTCGAGAGAGAGCCGCAACCCAGGACGTGACCAAGAAATAAAATTCGAGCAAAGAGGGAGCTACTTTCTGCGGCGACGGTCGCCCTCCCGGCCGCTCCCCTGCTCCCGGGCGCCCTCCCAAATCCGGCCGAGCGCGGCGCTGCAGCCCCGGCGGCCCAGACGCAGCGGGCGCGGCGCGGCCCCGCGGCCCGGGTGGGGGAGGCGGGGGGTGGGCCCCGCGGTCACGTGAGCCGGGCCAGCTGTTGGCGGGGGGCGGCGGGCCCGAGCGCCAGGAGTCTGGGGAGGGGGAAGCGCCCGACGGCCGCCTCCGCCACTGCAGCTGCAGCCCCCGATGTCGCCGCAGTAGTCGCGGCCGCGGAGCACCCGCAGTCCCCGGCGGCCGCAGCATCCGCACCGCAGAGCAGAGCCCAGAGCCCGCAGCCCGCAGCCCGCAGCTCCGCAGGTAAGCGGCGGCGGGCACGGCTGGGAGCGCAGGGCGTCCGCAGCCCCTTCTCCCCGAGCGTTGCAGCCGCGTCCGCCATCGCCGTCCCCTGTGCCTCGTCGCCAGCCCCAGTCCCTCCGAACCCGCGGGTAGCGCTACCCCGGGCCGAATTCCGGCGGGTAGTGGCTGGGGCTGGCTGGAGTCTCGGGGGTGGGGGGTCGGAATTGGGGGAGAGATGGCCTCTGCCCGGGTGGTGGATGACTCGGGCTGGTAGGTTGAGGGGGTGCAGGAGAGGAACGCCCCACCCCGGGGCGCGGGCACTGCCGCCTAGTTCGAGCCCGTCTGCCCCTCTACACCCCAATCCCATCCTTTGCCCCAACCTCCGGGTGCTTTTCCTGTGTTTCCCTTTCTTGAGAGCCAAGTTGCTGCCCCGCTGGGTTCTGGCCCTGCCCCCGCCACCCCTCGGGCTGCTTCCAGGGTTCGCAGCTCGCTCGGTGGTGGAGTGGGCCTGGCACCTTCCCGGGAGGTAACGCACCTGCCACCCGGGTAGCGCGAACATGGCTGCCTGGTGGGGCCCGCTGTCCTTGACCTGGCTCTGCGCCCACGTCCACCCGGTTTGCGATCACGAATCAGGTCCAGGACATTGCCCTCCCCCGCCTTCCCATTAAGGGCAAACGCGCAGACTCTTGGTGTCTATGCGAGCTCCAGGACTTGACACCACTACCCCCCCCATCCCACCCCCCGCAAGCCGCACTCAGGAGGTTCTTGAGGGTGGGGGGTGTCAGGGTAGGTACGCTGTGGCGTCGGGACACTTATTGGTAGAAGGCATTCATGTATTTCTGCTACGATTATACACTTCAGTCCTCGGTTCGCTTGTCCGTCCTGAGCTGATTATTTGCCGACATCACTGGTGAGGTCTGAGACTAGTGTGGTCTGCAAAGCAGGAGGGAGCTTGAACTTTACAGAATTGATGAGGACTCGGATTTAGGGGTTTAAAATGTCCATTAAATCCAAGTGCATCTAGGGAAGCTGTCATTTGCTGTGACTCAAAATTGACTTGGCAGGGTTCTGCCAAATAGCTCATGTGGGCTCTCTGGATTTGCTGTTGAATTCTGACTTGCAATTGTCTTGAATTACACTTGTGTCCAGCTTCCTGGGGTGTGTGTGCGCGCGCACGCCTACTGTGTTCCAAGCCTGACCAGAAGATGTCATGTGTTGCAGAGGAAACCTATGTTAATTCAAAATGGCAGCATGAAAAATCAGGCCAGGCAGAAGCTGTACAGACCACAGCTAACATCAGCTGCCCCCTGACTGAAGCCTTGGTGGGGAGATCTGCAGCAGGGAAGGCTCTCCTGGGTGTTGCTGTGGCTGGTCCTAAGCGGTAGGAGTGATTCTTTGCAGCAGGCTAGGTTTTAGCAGGCAGCAGGGTCCTGGGGAGGTGAGTGGGAAGTTTAGGGAGCTGTAATTATCTTCTGTAACTTATCAGAAGGTTGTGCAAAGACCTAATTAAGTGCGGTCTGAGACTAGTGTGGTCTGCATGCAAAGCAGGAGGGAGCTTGAAATCTGTGATCTTGATCTGATTTTCTCCAAGCTCCACTAAGGACGATTTACGTGGCTGCTAATGTCTGTTTGATGCATAACTTCTGTTTGTTTTGTGCCTACAAGTGGCTCTTAAAAGAGATGAGTGTCTGTCTAGTGTAAACATCACCCAAGAACAGTACATAACAAACGCCAGGTTCTTACAGCAAGTTTCATGGGAAATACTGATACAGCTCCATGAACGAGCACCCAGGCACCAGAGAGTGATACATTCTTGAAAGGTGACTCATTGTAAGGTTTTTTGGGTTTTTTTTTTTTTTTTAAACAGCCTTTCTTTCTGGTTTCACTGCTGTGCTGTTAGCCATCTTCTCTTTTAGGATGAAGGGGATGCAAGAGGAGACAAGTGTCCCAGGGAAAACGGAATAGAGGACGATTAGTGCTAAGGTCAGGAATGGCAAGCTAGAAGCAGCCTGAGAGAGCACTCTGCCGTCACCCCCCTCCTTTTTACAGCCTGGGAGGCTGATTCCAGTAGGGTGATTGGGCTGTGTCCAAGGTCAGATAGCTGGCTGGCAACTGGCAGTGAGGATTGAAATCCAGGTCTCATAACTGCCCAGGTCAAGGTTCTACATGCCACCTTTTACAGCCTAGGGGAAAAGGGACAAGCCTGTCATTAGTAGGATGGCAAACGGAGCAATTTGAAAGCAAACTATGGCATGAATTTAAAAACCTGTGGGTATTTAAAATAAGCGACTACATCTTAGTTTCCCATAACTTCTCAAGCCGTGTGCACCTCATGTCCATGTTTTCCAGCGACTGGACTGCTTCTATATTTAAGCACCAAAAACATAATTTAGGCATATTCTTTAAGGTGAGAAATGCATTCTTTGATTCAAACATGAGTGACTTTGTTGGTGGAGAATCATTAGGTCAATTTCTTTTTTTTTTTTTTAATTTATTTCTAGGAGAGAGAGAGAGAGACAGCATGAGCAGGGGAGGGTCAGAGAGAGAGGGAGTCACAGACTCTGAAACAGGCTCCAGGCTCTGAGCTGGCAGTCAGCACAGAGCCCGACGCGGGGCTCGAACCCACAAACCACGAGATCATGACCTAAGCGAAAGTCGGACGCTTAACCGACTAAGCCACCCAGGCGCCCCTCATTAGGTCAATTTCTTGTTAAAAGACACCAAAGTGGGATATGTAATAGCTTTCAAATATGTCTAATTTTAAGTAAAAGGTAAAGAGCAAGTTTTAAAAATAATGTTGACACGGCACTGGTTACAGAGGGCTTTCTAGAATCTGAATTTGAATTCTCTTGGTCGTATAGTAGTAGCCACGTTGGAAAGTGCGCATGGGTAAGTATTTGCACAGAGGTGGTGAGGATATGAAAAGCATTTCTTCTGGGCATTCTGTAACTTTAGCCCAAAGATCTGCAGAAGGAGAGGGGTGCATGGGTTGCAGGGAACGGGGAGTGGATGGTGAGTGGATAGGAGCTAGATATGGATGTGGAAGTGAAGACTGACGTCGATGATGCCGTGTATGCTGTTTAAAAAAGAATAACTTACATTAGAGCATGGATGCGAAGATTCATTCACGTACATTCCTCTGGTAGGTCAAAGATGTTTAAAATCAAGTGTTTTGGGGGCGCCTGGGTGGCTTAGTCGGTTAAGCGTCCGACTTTCGCTTGGGTCATGATCTCGCGGTTCGTGGGTTCAAGCCCCGCGTCGGGCTCTGTGCTGACTGCCAGCTCGGAGCCTGGAGCCTGTTTCAGTCTGTGACTCCCTCTCTCTCTGACCCTCCCCTGCTCACGCTGTCTCTCTCTCTCCTAGAAATAAATAAAACATTTAAAAAAAAAAATCAAGTGTTTTGGAAATACATAAACATGTGCAGTTTGTGTTTGTTGGAGAACAGTAAGCCAAAGTTATTCTATTTTATTTTTTAAGTTTATTTATTTATTTTGGGGGGAGGGGCAGAGAGAGAGGGAGCAAGAGAATCTCAAGGAGGCTCTGCGCCAACAGCAGGGAGCCAGATTCGGGGCTTGGACCCACAAACCCTGAGATCATGACCAGAGCCGAAACCAAGAGTCAAACGCTTTACCTACAAAGCCACACAGGCACCCCTGCCAAAGCTATTTTTAAAAAGTCACCCATGATCTCTTTATCCAGCAATAATCAGTCTTTAGTAAAGTTTGGGGCCATTTTCACTGGAATGAGAGTCTAGGTCTGTGCTGTCCAATTCAATAACCGCTAACCACTAGCTACCACGCACATGTGGCTGTTGAGCACTTGAAATGTAGCTGAGTCCAAACTGAGATGTGTGAACTACATACCAGGTTTCAAAATATATATGAAGAAAAGAATTTAAAATACCTCATTAATAATTTGTATATTGATTATATATTAAAGTAATATTTTAGATATATTCCAGAGGGACTCTGGAAACATCTTGCTAAATTTTTTAACAGTGCAACTGAACTTGGAAGAGCCAAGAAATGTAAAAAAGTTATTGGAGGTGATATTCGATCTGTCCTTGGCTTTACCTCAGAGGTCGATTGGCCACAACTGTCTAGCACTTTGCACCTGCCCTGTACCAAGGATAAGATACATCCTTTTCCATCATTCTGTGTGTCTCTTCTACCCTCACTGGCAGTGAGGGGTCTTATATGGAACTCTCTTCTCAGCAACTCTTAGGGATGGTCACCGAGCTCTTGTTAGTGGAAGGGATGGCTAAGATCAAGTGATTCCATTCCCTTTGTGACAGGGGAGCCACCTGCCATCCAAGAAGGCAAGAGCAATGTAGGTGTCAGTCACACTCTCCTATGGAAGCTCCCCACACCATCAGCCCAGTCTGGGATGGTGGTGCGCTGAACTGGATGGATGGAAAGTCAGGTCACTCAGTCACGGTGGCTGGAGGGGCCTCCCAGCTTGAGCCTCACCTCGGGCAGAGAGAGGGAGCTCGTTCCGTTCTTCTGTTCTTCTTTTTTTCTTTTTTAAAAATTTTTAGATGTTTTATTTATTTCTGAGAGAGAGAGAGACAGCGTGAGCAGGGGAGGGTCAGAGAGAGAGGGAGACACAGAATCCGAAGCAGGCTTCAGGCTCTGAGCTAACCGTCAGCACAGAGCTCGACGCGGGGCTCGAACCCATGAGCCGTGAGATCATGAACCGTAAGATCATGACCTGAGCCGAAGTTGGAGGCCCACCCGACTGAGCCCCTCAGGCGCCCCTCGTTCTTCCGTTCTTAATAGTTATATGTTTAGCCTAAGTCTACCAGTGGTTAATATCCTTCCCTAAAGTGAGCGACCCATCCTTGAAAGCTCCCATAAGCATCTCCAGTCATCATTTTAATTTGGGTTGCTGCCCTTCTCTCTTGGTTGTATTCATGAGCCCCTCTTCTAGATGATAAAGATCTTGAAAACATTTTAGTTCCTTTTCCCTTGGGCTAAACACAGTGCACCTAGGTGGTTAGGGGCTCAAAATGCATGCTGGTA